GTGGCATAATATACAAATTTCATACCTTAAAGAAGATGCTAACCACATGAGTTGAGCTCGAACTACAATTCATAACCAGGGAACCTCGACTCCTCGGGCTTACACAGATCGAACCAAAGGCAAGCAGTTCCAGCTAGACCATGAAAAAGGGAGTAAAGACGGTCACCTCCATTTTGGCTTTCGGCACCAACAAGCTTGCTAGCATTATGATACAAGTAGGTTCCAAATGCTCTGGCTCTTTCTTCATACTCGCTCTCTCCAGTAAGGCGATGAAGGGAAAGGAAGGCGTATGCGTTCCCAGAAACACCGTCTGCGAGTCCAACTTCCTTGACCAATCCATTTTTCCATACTACTTCCCCTGCTTCAATCGCAGCATCCCTAAATTCTCTGTCTTCATGGAAAACCTGAAATGTGAGTAAACGAGCTTCCATCAATTCAGTTACCTCCTTATGTATTCCAGGAATATAAAGCTTTCCAATACAGTTCATCAACTGATTCCTTATGAACAAGCCCAGATTAACCCTTAATCAACATGATGCAATTACATTAACCCTAACCCTTAATCAACATGCAACATGGTCTAAGCTGACCCATGAAAAGAGATACTAGGTGAGAATTGAAAGGGACCAAACCTGCGAAGCCTTGCAAAGGGTAATGCCTATGCCAGTTGCCCCATGAGACCATTGAACAAATTTGTCCCTGGGGTTTCCTTCACTTGAGGGGTAGTTCCCACAATGTGGAAACCTTTTGCTTATCAGATATCTCAACGTCCTCTTAACATCATCAGCATCCTCATTTGAAAGGGGGAAATGGAGAAGTACGTGCAAGATACCAGCTAGGCCGTTGGCTGCGCCATAATATCTCGTCCCATGCCATCGGTACATCAGAGGGCAGTCTGGATTATCAGATGCGCCCACCCTTCCACCTGCTAATACAGCATCAACTATAGACATGAGAAGATCATGGGGAAACTTCTGCTCTCCAAGATGCTTATTTATGAACAAGGCAGCCCATAAGAACCCAGCTCGCCCATAAAGGAGATCATATGACATTCCAAAACCTCCTTCCTCAGGTCCAATTGGGAGAGCTTTCTCTTGTGCAGCCTACAAAATGTTTCAAAATATTTTAGGCCACTGTTTGCAACATTATTAGACTTTGAACTGAAATCACATTGATGAAGAAAATCATGCTCGAATCTTTATATGCTTCCAAAAATGGTAATAATAAATTGTTTCTAATCAAGCAAATGACTTTTTCTGGGAGGAAAAAAAAAAAGAAGATATTAAATTGAGAAAAGAAGAGATGAGACCTGCAGAAAAAGATTGAAGAACATGTCGAGCCTTTGGGGATCCCCCATGTACTGAGATACCACGGCGCCAACAGCATACACTCCTACTCTACCACACAAAAACGTCAAGTGCCTGTGGAAAACAATATTTATTATTTAACATACGAAAAAAAAAAAANAAAAAAAAAAAAAAAAAAAAAAATATATATATATATATATATATATATATATATATATATATATATATATATGTGGGCCCACCCTTTATTATTTGTCTTCCATTTCTAGACGGTGACACCTGTCAAATGTTGAGAAGATATTTATCTTCCTGAAAAATTATCACGTGTGTAATACAGCTTTGATGTTTGACAGTCTTTTAAAAAGATATATATATATATATCTTGTTCTGGAAAATGAGACTATGAAAGACAATTCAATAATCAATATCTTATCAATTTTTAAATCATATTCTGTTGATCTGATCTTTTGGAGAATATCTTATTTTTTAATTATAAAGTGAGAATTTTGGCTAAAGAAAATGATTGTATTCTATCAGAATAACAGGCAAAGTTTTTCTTAATAAAATATTTCCACGAATATCAAATAAAATAATTGGAGGATAAGAAACATATTCCCCCAAATTATTTATTTACAAAAATAAACTTTCAATGATTTTTCATCTTTTCTTCTTGGTTTCTTATTGTTTTAAAAAAATTAATTTAAATCCCTAAATTCCAAAATTTCAACTAAAACTACCTCATCCTATATATATTATTTATTTATTTATTAGCTTCCCGTTCAATCCTTTTCGTTAATTAGTATCACCGTACATAAAACAACCGACTTCGTAATAATAATTAATTATCATATATTATTTTTAAATATGAAAAACGATCAATGAAAAAGGGAAAGCAAGATCACGTGATCACCTGTGCGAGGCACGTGCTGCAAGAGAACAGGTGTCGACGATATCGGAGCACAAGTGCAAGTCCGGAACGTTACCGGTGGCCTCGTACGATCTCAGGCAGGTTAACGCTGTTCCAAGGAGGCCAGTGTAGGCCGCCGGATCAACGCCGATGTTATCGTCACGACGTCGTTTCCAAGTGACCTCCACAACCTAACAAATTCAAGCACAGAGAGCAAAAAATTAGTTCCGTTCAGACAGCGTTAGGGCACAGTGTTGTGATCTACATCGATTTCGCGAGTTCCGGTAGGGTAGAAGAAAAGAAGGAACCAACCTGATTCTTCAAAGAAACGGCCGTAGAGAGAAATAACTCACGAGGAAGCAGAAGCCTCTTGACCGGAATCAAATCCAGCTGTTCGGTCATTTCTCCTCCTCCTTCTCGCTCCTCTTGCGACGACGCGAACTCCATCGCCGACGACATTCTGGAAATCTGCTTTTCTCGAAGAAACTTTTGTAGCAAAGAGATTGAGAATGAGAGACTACGGGAATCAATGGCGGTTTGAAGAGGTCGAATCTGTGGATTTCGATTCTCTGTCTGCCACTACCGCTATTTAGTTTTATCTGTTTCTTACACGCGAATAATGTTTTTTATTCTTTATTTTCCTTTTTAACTTTTTTACTCTCTGTAACTTTACAAGATAATGAAATGTGAAAAACGAACCCTAAGCATAATTTTATCTTTTTAATCTTTTAAAAGTATTTATATTTGTTTCTTATGGTTTCATTATTTACCTTTTAATTTAATCTCCCAAAAAATTAAAGATTTATACGAGTGGCATTATCTTCCAAAATTTATCTGTTTATCAAGCTACAAAAAATATATTTCATAATTATATAAACATAAATCCAAAAAAATCATAAACTAGCTTTTGATTAAATTGGTAAGATAAATTCATTATTAATAAATACAAGAACAATAAATTAAAAAGGTTCTTTATTTAATTATTCCATTGCAATTATTTAATTTATTAAAATATATATATAAAATTTCCACCATCAATTATCGTGAAAATCTAACCAATCTGAACTACTTAACGCAACTTTACTTTTAAAATTACAATGAAAATAAGAATATTTGATTTTTGCAACCGCGGTTAGTGATTATTGTAACTTGTGAATATTTAAATTTTATGAGATTTTAATTATTAATATAATATGTAGTTATAACTTTATTTGGATTTTAATTATTAATATAATACGTAGTTGTGAACTTTACTTGGGTTTCAGGTCATCAACTAACTATTTTATGAAAATTTGATAGCATTTTTATAGAAGAAGGAAAAAAAACCATTGATAGCGATTTTATTTTGAGGCACAAGTTATTTAACATCAGAAATAAGGGCATCTTGACCAAAAAAAAAAAAAAAAAAAAAAAAAAAAGAAAGAAAAGGAAGAGAAATATATGTTCACTAAAAAGGACGTGACTTGCAAGAAGAATACATTCCTTATTTTTCGTTGAGGGCATTTTGGCCAAAAAAATTGATGTCCTGAGTATTTTTCAATTAATATTTTAAATAAACCATAAAAAAAAAGTGCTTTAATTATAACGAGAATAATGGAGACATTAGAGGAAATAAGTTTAAATCAGGGTGGCACCTATATAAGGTATAAGTTTGAATCATGGTGGCACCTATATAAGGTTTAATATCCTACACGTATGCTAGACAACTTGTTACTCGATTTCGAAAGTGTATCAATAGGTATAAGTAATATAGTAGTGAGAGTATTGATTTTAAAATTACTATTATGAGATCGAGGGTCAAAACTAACCTTATATCAAGCTCATAAATAATTCACACCCAAACAGAAAAGAATAAGTTTCACCTTCAAAGAAAAAATTGAAATTGGTAATTCACAATGATATCTAAAAGTAAATTTTCAACTAACATCATTCAAGTTATTACAAATAAGAAAAGAAAAATGAAAATGAAACAAGTTTCGACGATTCTACAAGTTTTTGATTGTCACTCTCGATGTTATAAACTCGTCTTTAACTACACAAAGTTACTACACTAGAAATTCAAGGTTGTTAGGAACTAAATCATTATGAACTTTTAGTAATCTCTCGAAAGCATAATTATCACATCTAAACCGAACGAGTTAAATGACAAACCAAGTCCAAACCTTACGTTTATCATCCTCTACATGTTTATTAATAGATGGAAATTTGATTGTACCCCTACATTATCAACAAGTCTCTATCACTTCTAATAAGCCACTCCCACCGACTATTCTTCCTTTCTCTACATTCCCATAGGTTCCTGCATTTTTCTTTTGTCACTTCTAAAATATGTGGTTCCCAAACACTCTACGTCTAATAAGCACCACATGTCTACTCTATCACTCTCTCCAGTAAGATCCTTTCTACACAAGATATGATATGATAGGCAGGCAACCAAATCAACAACATGAAGCAGCGCCCACAACATCATAAATACAGAACAACCCTCCTTTACTGTCTACCTTTTCCATTCAGTCCCATGGAAAAACAATCTATCATAGTTTAACTACAAAGGGGATGAGTGATTGAACCTTTGGCAAGTTGGTTGAGAACATATGCTTTAACCAATTGAGTTGTGCTCCGTTTGACCTGTATGTTTAACCTGCTAGAAGAAATATGAAACAATTATTACATTACTTTTGTGAATACGGGTCTAAGTGGTAGCATATTAAACCCTTCTTTTCCACCAACCGGAGGAATCCCATGTTAGAGAAGGTGGGAAAAAAAAAAAAAAAAAAAAAAAAGCAATTCNTTAGAGAAGGTGGGAAAAAAAAAAAAAAAAAAACAAAAGCAATTCCTCCAAGAATCCTTGCGTCCGAGTGAAAGCTATATGATCATAACCACTAGTTGTGAAGAGCCGCAATTCAGTGAGATTTTTGTTGCCTACAATGATAATAGAGAGGGGCATTTTGATGAGGATCCTAGCTCAGATTCCATAAGCTTCCAGCTCTTTTGACTCCTCATTGGCAGAATTCTGCCTTTGAGTTCTTGTTGGTTCTTGATCATGTCTCTGTTTACTTTTCAACAGCTTCTCTTTTTCTCCTATTGCAATAATCAGCTCAAGTTGCTTTTGCTGCTGCTCCTACAAATGAACTCAGTGCAGAGATTACAATCAGTTTTTAACCAACTTCGTCGTTTAACCCTACTCTTAAAAGATAGTACATGATCGACACATCAACGTCGAAATCCTATCGAAATCAACCTGATTTTCATGGAAGACGAACTTCATAATCTGCTTCTGATACAGATTCCGTAATTAAATTAGTACAAAGAAAAATTAAGAATTCCTCATCGTCTATAGTCACCTATTTCTTGTGAAATCGGTATATATAACACATTGAAACCAAGCAACCCTCATACTCTCTCATACATCCATCCAATATACAGCATATAAAGGGTATTAAATTTCAAATAACCAGAGTTTTGTTTATTGGCTTCAACAATCATTTTAACGTTTACCTGCATGGCCAGTAAGACCTTTTGAATTTCTAGGAGTTCTTTTTCAAGAACATCTTCTTGCACTGCCAAAGTTCGAGTGTCCTGAGAATTTCTTTGAGCTAAAGCTGCAGACTTTAATAGCGTACAAACAATTAGAGGTTTGTGGAAAAGCGTTCGTTCAAAGTTAGATTTCACACTCTCTGTTAAAGAAAAATGGGCAAACACAAAAACATAAAAACAAATGAAAAACAAAACATACGCTGAAAAAGCAATCAAATAAGATTTACTTGAGAAGAAACGAAGTCAATTATATCAAAATTCTTCAACGAATCAAATTTAGTTCATCACTTTCACTCAAGCTCTCTTTCTTTTCTTCTCTCCACGCATTTGTTTTAAACACACCAAAAACATCCTATTTCTTACAGGGTCGCAATGAAAACATCTATGCCATACATTCCATCTTATGAATCCATATATATGTACCCACAATTAATCCAGCTTAAAAAACTATATATACGAACACTTGATTAGATATATGATCATGTACATGGATAATGTACGTAGAATTAGAACACGTTCAATTTTCGACAATGAGATGATGAACTTATAGATTAATCTCCATTTCTCATTCTTGATACTGTTAACTCACCACAATACTTGAATCTGTACTGAATCTCTCAAAGTATACTAAATCAACAGGAACTCAGCATGATTAAAAATGCAGAAGACCAGTTATTATCCATCAAAGAAACATGATATGATTACCAATAAAGAGCACAAGCGAAAAAAAGAAAGTAGATAAGAATACCTCAGCAATTGAATCCCTCACAGTTTTTCGTGTGACCAAAAACCTTATGCCCAATTTCTCAAGCTTTCTAGACAAGGCCCGAATCACAGTCGTTGAGCTCCTTAAATCCTCCTCTAATTTCTCAATCCTATCCAGCAAATTCACCTTCAACCCACCGCTCGCTTTTTCCCCACATACTCGTCTCCACTGCCGCCTTCGAATCCACGTATTAAGAACAACGGTAGCCACCAGTAAAGGAAACCCCCACACCAAACCCCTATCTCCTATCAACACCCAAAGCGCCTTCTTCGAACTCGAACCCACAAAATTCACAACAAACCCAACCAAGAAAACAGCCGAAGCAAAGAGAGAAAACAATTCAGAGAACAAAAGAACCGACTCTAAATTGAAATCGCCTCCCCTGTCGTCACTCTGCTCAATGTCTTCGGATTCAGAAACTCCAATGCCATAATGACAGTAACTCCGTAAGGAGCTTAAATTATTAGGGTTCTGTAGCTTATGCGTATGAACGTGGAATTGATATAGGTTTGTGAGGAATCGAGATGCAATCGGGAGAGAGAAAGAAGTGTTGCATCTGGGAAGGGAGTTTGTGAAGCTACAAAACTTCAAACGGTTCGAACATCTGAAGAGATTTTGAGAAGACAATGACATTTGTGAAGAAATGGGGATGGGAATTTGTGTTTGTTGAATATGTTTAATCGTTCCTCTCTGGAATGAAGATGGGTAGAAGCATCGGAAACATCGATAGAGATTTTTGGTCGCTCAGATGCTTACAGTGGACCTCATAACAACTTTCAAACATCAGAGGGAGAAGCGAGCGAGTTCGCCGAGTTACTCAATAATTTGTAAATAGATTAAAAAAAATGCGAAAAAAAGTCCGACCTGCCGGATTCGAACCAGCGACCTAAGGATGACTATTCGGAAATTTCAAACTACAGTCCTCCGCTCTACCAACTGAGCTAAGGTCGGTTGTTGATGAAGATTCCAGATTAAAATTAAAAATAGAATTTATTTTTTTTTTAGAGTAGGTTAAATAAACCATTAAGCTTCTAATTTGTACGAAAATACAAAAATATCCGACCTGCCGGATTCGAACCAGCGACCTAAGGATGGCTATTTGGAAATTTCAAACTACAGTCCTCCGCTCTACCAACTGAGCTAAGGTCGGATTCTGTTACATTTTTAAACATAATTTATAGATAATATAATGAATAATTTAGAAATAAACTTATAAGTAATTAAAAACATGTATCATTGGACAAATGTCTGAACATAGCTTTAATATATTAATAATCTCTCGTAGGTGAGTTATATTATTTATTTATATTTATTATAAAATTTCTTTATTTACTTATTTCACTATCATTGGCATTCTCACACATATACATCTTATGTATTTAGGTAAATTTGAGCATTTCAATGATAATAATTGTACTTCGAAAGTTTTTATGTACAATTTATAATATTTAAATATTTGATTGCAATAATTTCATAATTAAATATAAGGGAGAGGGGGGAAATTGTGGCAATGAGTTACTATTTGATAGCCTATGAAATAAAGCCACGTGCTGAAGACACATCTTAAAGGGATAAGGCCAAAAGGAATCTTTTTGAAATGAGTTACTATTTGGCCAGTAAATAAATGAGTACCTAAATATTTTTTAATATATATATTTGAACTCTCAGTAATTTCTTTTGCTTTTTTTTTTTTTTTTAAAAAATAAAACAATAATATTATCATAGAATAAATTTGATGAAGTTTTTGAGCTGGTAAGAGTTCCTCTAAAATTCAAATTTTCACTGACTTGATTTATTATTTAAGTCTCTATCAAATCACTAATTTTCGTCGATCTATTTTCACATTTTATAATAGAATATAATTGAAAAATACTAGTATATTTTCTGACCCCGTACCTACTCCATTTTTTTATTCTTTGACCTACCTTAGAATCATGTTAAATTTCTGGAATTATTAAAATCATGTTAAATTTCTGGAATTATTAAAATCATGTTAAATTTCTGGAATTATTGTATACATTTTTCTACCAGGAATTTATAGGGATAATGAAAGTTTTCAAGAAAATTGTATCATGACAATATTATTTTATTAAAAAATTTAAGAATATTCTCCTTAAAAAGAGATTCTTTGTCGGAATCTCTGTTACAATGTTGAGCCACATAATTTAAATTATTAAATCATTAAATATATAACTTTTAAATTTAAATATTTATATATTTATAATCACAATAATAATGAAAAATAAATAAATACATAAATAAATAAATAACACGAGGCGATGACCCATCCTCAAAAAGTAGTTTTTGTGTAATCTGGAGTCGCCAAAAGGAGGCAAAATAATAATAATAATAATAATAATAATAATTAATAAATAAAGAAAAGAAAAGAAAAGAAACCAGTATTATTACCCACACTTCGTCCACTGAGCTTGCGTCCAGAAGTAGCTCAAAGCTTTTGATGCTGCTGCTATAAAAGGATCTACTCGGTTGCCATATCGGAAGAATTGCATTCCCAACGCGCAACCACTACCCAAAAGCATGTTCTCTCTCTTCCTCCTCCCTCTCTTCTTCCACTTCCCATCTGTTTCTCCGCCCAAACTCCGCCCCGATTACTACGCCGAGTCATGCCCTCACGCGGAATCCATCGTCCGGACTGTGATGCACAAAGCTCTGATCAGTGAGCCTCGAAGTGTTGCCTCTGTTATGCGCTTCCAATTTCATGATTGCTTTGTTAATGTAATCCTTCTTCAACTCTGTTTCTTTTCTTCTTGGATTTTGCCTTTTTTTTTTTTCTTTTTTTTCCTTTTTCTGTTTGGCTTCTGAGAATCGGTGTTTCTTTGTTGTTTTTGGTTAATTCAGGGCTGTGATGCTTCTATGTTGCTGGATGATACGCCGACGATGCTTGGAGAGAAACTCTCTCTCTCGAACATTAATTCGCTTAGATCTTATGAAGTTGTTGATGAAGTGAAGGAGGCGTTGGAGAAGGCCTGTCCTGGAATCGTCTCGTGTGCAGATATCATTATCATGGCGTCTAGAGATGCCGTTGCTCTAGTAAGTAGTTCCTATTCTTCTGGCTCGGTTTGGATGAGAAGAAATTTCTCGGAGATTTTTTTCCATGATTTTTATGTTGTTTGCTTGATTTTTCATTCTGAATTTTCTGTCAAATCCTCCATCGAAATGCACAAAACAGAACTAGTTTTCCACACACAAAGGGAAAAAATTCCTCACTCTAAATTATAAATTTAGTCCTGAAATGTAAAATTTCAATGCGGTCTTATAGTTTGGACTACTTTTCTGTAATCTTTGTAAACCTCAACCAAACATTTGCTGAATTAGTTTTGTCAAATCAGAGTGACTGGATTTATAAAAAGTTATTTGATACATTCATTTAAGGAGGTAGTAGTAGCACGCTTTATAGGCTTGTCAATAAGGGTCGTATAATTACAATTCAAACTACACACCATGACTTAGTTATAGCAATATCGATAAGAATTATATAGATTTACAATACGAAGTGATTCATAAATTGTTTGAAAAATTTCAAGAGAGCAAATAGACACCTTGTACAGGATTGGTAACGTACCCAATCGCTTACTACTAAAGCAGAGATGAACAGTACTGCATAAATAAGTAACTTCCTTGGTTTAAAGGCTCCACCAGAATGGCTGCCACAAATTCATAACTGGCCCCCATCTGTCCAACTGCTTCGCCTCTTCTCATTCCCAAAAACATTCATTATTCCTTTTTTTTTATAGATTAATTATTAGATGATGTTGCTAAAAAGTGACTAATTGTTTTGGGCAGTTGGATGTGAGAGAGAATTTATAAATGTGATTCCCTTTTGTATTTGTTTGTATTTGATAGTTATGAGATGCCTACACATTTTTGGATCTATATCTAACGATTATAAAGGTAGTCATAGTTTGACAACCTCATCCAATACTTTCTCCTCACTATGATATCTCTTCGTGTATCATGTTTGTCTCCATTCAGACAGGCGGCCCCAACTGGACAGTGAGATTAGGTAGGCTGGACAGCTTAACAGCAAGCCAAGAGGACTCAAACCAGATCATGCCAAGTCCAAGAGCCAATGCAAGCTCTCTCATTGACCTCTTCAACAAATACAACTTATCTGTTAAAGATCTGGTTTCTCTGTCAGGTTCCCACTCCATCGGCCAAGGCCGATGTTTCTCAATCATGTTTCGGCTCTACAACCAGTCTGGTACTGGGAGGCCAGACCCGGCCATCGAGCCGGGCTTCAGAGAAGAGCTCTTTAAGCAATGCCCTCAAGGTGGGGACGAAAATGTCACAATGAACCTTGACTCTACACCTTATATTTTTGACAATCGGTACTTCAAGGACTTGGTTGGTGGGAGAGGGTTCTTGAATTCTGATGAAACTCTCTATACATCTGCTGCAACTCGAAGGTATGTGAGGTACTTCAGCAAAAACCAAAGTGCGTTTTTTAACGCATTCGTGGAGGGTATGCTGAAGATGGGTGACTTGCAGTCTGGCCGCCCGGGGGAGGTTAGAAGGAATTGTAGAGTAGCCAATGGCCAGTCTGTGATCATATAACATGGCCAGTCTGTGACCATATAACATAGCCCCAACCGGATTAGCATGTATTATATCCTTTGAACTTGAAGGTTAAAATATCTATTATCTTACATTTATTAGGCGTCATCATTTGTAAGATAAAACATGTAAAAAAATTATTTATACTAATTATCATCTTAAACATCGGTCAGAGCCCAATAGTCTAATTTAATCCAACACCGGCCCATTAAGCCCACTGTCTAGCAGCCCAAAACCTAGCCCAACCTAGAAGCTCTCTAGTCCAGCAGCCTTCACACAAAGCCCACGACCCAGTTCGTTCTCAAGCCTAAACCAATAGCCACACGATCTCAGCTCAAATCACGTGCGACTCGGCTCAGCTTGGACAACGCGCCACCCTCGGTCAACGATCAACCAATTGTGTGAGTGTGGTTGTGGCTATGTGAGATAATTGTACAAATTATTGCGTCAAACAATTTGATGAAAAGCTTACATTGTTCAGTTCTTGTTAGGATTTGGATCTTTTTGAAGCTATTATCTTTATGGTCATGAACATTAGGAACCCTACAACAGCGCTGGTCACTATTTCCATTGAGCTCAGGCAATTCAAATCTCTCTTCTCTGTGATTTTTCTCAAATGCCACATGATCGTCGGAGAGCAGGACACACCACCAACACCGTCATCTTTCCGGCAGCAGCTGCATCTGGTGGCTGGAAACTTAGTACTCATTTCGTCTTCCTCGTCGTCTTCATCGGCCAATAAATGAGGCGGAATGTCCTTCTCCATTTCGTTTCGTTCCCATTCTTCAGCATCCATAGCCCACTCATTGGAATCAATCCCCGCCATTGCCAAAGCTTCTAAAGAAACCGACATGGGGTCGTGGGTTTTGAAGAAGGATGAATATGGAAGGCTTGGGATATAAGTTCGAAGAGATACTTGGAAGAGTAATTGGGTTCGTTGAAGGTGATGATATTGGTATATATAAACATGGAATTTGAAGATGAGGACGTGGGTTTTGAAGAAGGAGGAATAAGTTCACGAGTTCCTTAAGAATCAAACATTAAAAAGTTGGTTCAAATTTGGGAACTAATAGAGGGTTTGAATGGTCGCAGATTTAAAGGATGATGTTCTCGTGAATGTAATTTGCCTATTTGAGCCAATTGGAGGATAGCATTGTTTGATATATGTTTTGGAAATATATTCCTGTGAAGTTATCAGGTCAATGTAGCAATATGACGATGGTTGGCTATAGTATGATTACATGCATGACTCTGTTTAGATGTTTGAAAGACTATATATAACTAAAATCTTTCATCTGACTCCTATTATTGCTTTTGGATTCTTTATCTAGCCAATCATCCTTTTGTTGGAGGTATCTAGCTTGGAGACTTCTCATCCATGGGAAATTAAACTATCAGCATTTCGGTTTCACAAGGGAGAGTTCTAGTTTTTTTAAGGATTCCCTATTGATGGCACAACAAGCCTATTGATGGCACAACAAGGATTAGTGAAAGTATGGTTGCACGAAGATTGCCATTCGAACGGACTACTACAGCTACATTTTAAAAATACTTTCAAATTGCTTGAAGAAAAATGCGAGATACAAAAATAGTACGATGGCGAGAATCACATTACTGTCAAGACAAATACGTTTGTAGTCACAAAAATATATGATAACCAAATTGAAACTAAGTTCAAATCTCATCCGCCAAAATTTTATCTTACCTAAAAACTATATCCCAAAATTTTATCTTACCTAAAAACTATATCAAAGTTTAATAACTAAATTTACAATTTAAAATAAATAAATAAGTTTAGAACCGACAAATAATAATAATATTATTATTATTATAACGTGACAAATGTAATGTCAAACATGAATATGATCATTCTATGGACTAGGTTGTATTACAAACTTCAGCCACCAGCACATAGCACATGTTAATTAAATAGAGAAAATTAAGATTACAAAAAAGAAAAAAAAAAAAAAGCAGAAACAAAGCCACTGAAATTTACAAACTAGGAAATGGGAAGGCAAGGATTTCATAATTGGTTAAGAAAACGCGTAAAGATGGCCTCAATCAAACTCACTAACTAAAATTAATCATCATATATATGTTCTCATAGCTGAAGAGGATAGGCAGTTGAGTTTGGTACCTCATCTTCCACCAGACAACTGGATAGGTTCCTGTTTATAGATGGAATCATCCCCCAACGCAAATCTTCTCAGTATTCTCTCAAAGTCTTGTTTGCGAGTCACCTCTAAATGCTGCCATTCTTCCCACCTCTCTGCAAGCCCCTCGCCTTCCAGCATCCGAGTGACCTGTGACATTGTCGGTCGGTCAACCGAAGATTGCTGCGTACACAGTAGCGCTACTTGGGTCATCATTTCCACCTCTCTAATATCATAGTTATTCAGGTTTTCGTCGACAATAGCAGTGAGTCGCTTCTCCCTTACCAATTTTTTGACCTTTACAACAGATATGAACTTGAAAATTAGCAGTGAAAATGAGCTATAAAGTTGGTGATTACTGGTCCTGATTCTTTTACCATAGACTTCAAGCCAAAATATATGTGTATGCATGTTTACCCAAAAATAGTAATACTAGCACTAATTGAATTTCATAAAGAAAGAGATTCAAGTGGAGATCTTGCTTTTGACAAGATTTTCTTACATGGTCGAGCAGTAAAACATCATCTCCTTCCAAGCGAGATAAATCCATTGCTCTTTGCCCTGTAACAAGTTCTAAAAGCATAATGCCATAGCCAAAAACATCAGTCTTTTCTGATGATTTTCCGGTGGATAAGTACTCCGGTGCTATGTGGCCAGCTGTCCCCCGAACTTGAGTCGTGACATTAGTCTTCCTAACATCAACCAACTTTGCTAGGCCAAAATCGCACACAACAGCTTCAAAATCATCATCAAGCAATACATTAGCAGCCTTAACATCTCGGTGAATAATCTTTGGATTGCAATGTTCATGAAGATATCCTAAACCACGAGCTGCACCCAATGCCACACGTTTTCGAGTAGGCCAATCTAGAATACGTTCCCCAGGCTTAATTTCTGGCATAGAAGAAAGTACTAAATAAATTAGCTAATAAAAGTAGCAATTCTTTATCAGTAAGGCATCACAATAACAATTGGCTAAGGTCCATGTCGTGAATTAAATGAGTAACTTGCAGGCTGGGTATTCTGCAAGACTTCTTTGCATGCTTTTAAAATAAGAAACCAGCTTTCATTGAGAAATTCATTGAGAAGAGTAACAGTAAGAGTAAAAAAATTTTAGAAAAATAATAATGATAAAGAACTAACAGACAAAATGGTAACAGCAGCAGTGTAATGAACAGAGCAATAGAACAAGAAATTAACAGAGAAAATGCCTCAATACTCAAAAGACAAATCAGGGTTATGCAACAGTGATAGTTGAATCTAACAAGTTGAAATGATGTTCATACTTACTCACACCGATCTTACTATGAAATTTCAAGCTCTAAGGGGAATGTGTTAGGCCGCAATTACCATCCAATATGCGAGAATGGCCAGAGGGGAATTACAAGGGTGAGAAGTTATTTAGAAACTTGGGCGTAAGATGGGAAGGATCACTAGGATCATGCAAAGATGGAATGCTAGGAAAGAAGGTTAGTCTAATTATGGTTAGCGTCCGTGTATTTCTATATATTTTCAGTCTAGTATGAGTGTTCTAGAGAGAGATACCAGCCCTCTCAAATTGGCTGGGTTTTTAGTATTGCCCTAGGGCATCTCTTTCTCGGAACATCATTGTATTGTAAGGAAGGAACCTTACATATAGGTATCAAAACATCCCATCCTCGGAAAATTTGGCAAGATGGCACAGAAAAGGATAGAAGAGAGGTTGGATGTGGCAGATCACAAAAATGGTAGCATCAAAGAGAATGTTCAGAAGTTACTGGCAATAAAGCATAGCTTAGCATCGTTGACAGAGGAGATGGAACATATTGCCACTCAGGTGGATTTGCAGTAGAAGACCTCTAACAACGCCAGAAAGGTTTTAACCTCTTTTGCTACAGATGGCTCTATTCAGAGCGAGATCCTTAGCTTCAACCCTTGTTGAAGTATCAGGGCATAAACAGAAGGAATGGGAGGGAATCGGTGAAAATCAACGTTGAATTCCAAGAAGGCGGAGGAGATGACCAGAGGCAGGAGCAAGTTCAAGAAGGTGGAGATTCTGGTGTTTGAATGAGAGGATCCCGATTCTTGGTTATTTCGAGGCAACGGGTATTTTTATATTCATGAGCTAACAGATTTTGAGAAATTGGCTGTCGGTAGCCTTAAATTGGTACTAGGGAAAGGAGGAAAGGGTGTCGTTCAAAGTTCGGAAGGACTTGAAGATACGATTGCTAGAAAGGTTTAGAACCTCTAATAAAATGGGAAATGTCTGTGCTCATTTTCTCGCAGTCAAACAGGAAATTATATTCCCTCTGCCCATATTTTAGAGAAAATTTTGCAAATTTCAGATCCAAAACAACCAAAAAACTGTTTACCTCGAAGATGGTAGGCAACACTCAAGTTCTGCATATAGGGATATACCAATAAGCGTTCGGTCTCAGTTGTACAGAACCCAATCAGCCGCAATAGATTTCTATGAACAGCTACACTAATCATCTCAACTTCCTGTAGAAAAGCAGCATCTCCCCCAAGGCTTTCATAATTAGTTGACTGTTTCACTGCAACCTTGGTGCCATCAGTAAGCACCCCTTTGTAAACCCTTCCAAAGCCTCCTTGTCCTATAACATTTTTGTCACTGAAGTCTTCTGTAGCTAGCTGCAATTCCCTCCATGGAAATCTTTTCAGCTGACCAAATGCAATTCTTCGATCAATTTCACCTAATCGGGAGATAGGGAAAAAGAAACACTTAGAGACGCACCAACAAAAATTTCAGGCTCTGGTTAGGGTGGGGATGGGGAAAGGGATTTGAACTTTGATTCACTTTTTAAGCTTGTGCATGCATGTGGAATTGGTACAGGTTTGTGTCCAATTACTAATAAGTTAAGTTGATAAGTTGACAAGGAAAAAACTTGCATCAAAGAGTTAAAGCGCGTGAAACTAGTTCCCTAAGTTCTTCATCAATCCAATTGGAAAAATATGTTTAGTATGCAACTACAAGGCATATTTATAATGATGTCAAACAATTCAGTAAGGTACTATAAAAGACCAGGATTTAAAGAACCATTTGTTTGTAGAGAATCTAGATAGTCTGTTCTTCAAATGTCAAACAAAAAACAAATACAAAACAGTTGTATTTCCAGACAAGTGCTTATTACATGTAAACGCTATGAAAAAATGGCATAAAAGCTTATATGGAAAGAATTCAATCATATTTACAATGATACCATAACCTTGAAACCTAGCCTTCACAAGAGATGTTTGTATAACCCAATTTAACAATTAGATGATGGTCATGACAGTTACCTGGAACATCTACAAAGACTTCGCCCTTGTTGCCTTTATATCTATACTTGCACAAGAAAAACAATACTCCGACCAAAAGAAGAGCAAGCATTAGCCCAGCAATAAGTCCAGCTATAAGGCCAACCTTTGACTTATTGGAAGCACCTGACATGACGTGGAAACTATCACATTTTACTTCCAGATAAGGGGTGGCTAGGTTATCAAAACGAAGAAAAGTATTTTCTCTAAGCCTAAGGTAAATATGATCAAATAACCTGAGTTTGTACTATCTGAAGCACAGGAACGGTGAAATTTTTTGCCACAATTCAACCTATTTCCCGAAAAGCTGTGAAAAACAAAAGAATTTGGAAGGATAAAATAAGTACAGGGCTGATGAAGACAATAGCAATTATATTTTTTGAGAAATGGAAATCTTGATAGTGATTTATAAGCTATGATTCTAGCTACTTTCTTTTGTCGTTCCAGTTGGAGCCATTTTTTGAGGAATGGAAATGGAAATCTTGATAGTGATTTATAAGCTCCAGTTGGAGCCATCAATGCCGTTCTCAATTAAATTCCTCTTTTTCCTAATAGATTCTAAAATGAACTTGACTAAAAGGACTTCAGAGCAACAAGAAAAGGCAGAGAACTCAAAAAATTCAAATTTTCTGCTGGACTGCACACCAAGAGGGTCTTAACATGGAAGAAAGGTTGCAAAAAGATGCCTAGATTAACTTCTAAAGGCCAGCCTGGTGTGTTCTTTGTAGAAAACCATAGAAACTGAAAGAGATCCGTAGTGCAGCCAGAAACATAGAGGACTA